TTTTTCAATAGCATGTCAGTAGTTTTTTCGTATTCTTGTAGTTTTTTTCTATAAGGGTAGGTAGATTTTGTCTCTGTCTCTGTCTCTCTTTCTCTCTTTCTGTTCATATATGGCTACATATGATCATATATAATTATATATAAATATGCTGGTTTGAAGATACAATTGAAGTAAATACTTATGTTTATGATAGACCATGATGAGACCAAAGCTCAGTGCATGACTTCGTAACGAGTGATCTTATGTTTGCAAAGACGTGAATTTAAATAGGTCTGGGAAATAAATGTTCCAATCTCGTTTGTCCTTTGCTGGAACTGTGTATTTAAAAATCAATTTTCCATCGGCAGGTGTTCGTGCAAGCAAACGAGAAGTTCAACGTGGACGCCGCGCTAAATAAAAACAATGAGAATGGCGTGCCACAATTAGAATGTATAACGCCACTGAGGCTTTTGTTAGAGTCGGAGAGGAGTGTCGAGAGATGGAACAGCGAAGTGAAGGACATGGAGGTGCACACCAAGATAAGGAGTCAAAAAACGCAATGGAAGTCGGATCACGTCAATATTGTGGATTATCTGAGGAAACGACTCAAACTTGACAGGTAAATGTCGAGAAATTCTATCGATGCAATTGATTCTGTTGGTTATTTTCGTCGACGTGCAACTTTCAAACGAATATTCGTGAATGCAGATTCTCAGAGGAGTGCATACAAATGGCGTGCGGCATTTTGGAGATTAACACGTTCGAAATTCGAACAATGAGAGGATACAGCGCGCGGGCTCTTTACCCGACGGTCGCCATGATGAACCACTCGTGCGTCTCAAACACATCACACACCATATCGCCGATCGATTACAGGTATAATATCTTATCATCGCAGTCGTCACTTAACATCGTTTGCTATAAAAGTCTGACGATGTAGATACGCGAGAACGGAGAAAATATTACAGTAAAAATTATAAGAAATTTTGTATTCACGAGCTGGCTTACTTAAAAAATCCGAAGAAATTGACAGATATACTCTAGATAGCACAAGATCACCAGGGGATGTTCTGAGGACGTACTCAGGATGTAGGAACGTTCTCAGGACCTCTGATATATATACAGCACAGTTTATTGGCTAACATTGGCATACAGTAGGCCAATACAGCCAATGTATAGTCAATATATATATATATATATATATATATATATATATATTGACTATACATTGGCTGTATTGGCCTACTGTATGCCAATGTTAGCCAATAAACTGTGCTGTATATATATCAGAGGTCCTGAGAACGTTCCTACATCCTGAGTACGTCCTCAGAACATCCCCTGGTGATCTTGTGCTATCTAGAGTATATCTGTCAATTTCTTCGGATTTTTTAAGTAAGCCAGCTCGTGAATACAAAATTTCTTATAATTTTTACTGTAATATTTTCTCCGTTCTCGCGTATCTACATCGTCAGACTTTTATAGCAAACGATGTTAAGTGACGACTGCGATGATAAGATATTATACCTGTAATCGATCGGCGATATGGTGTGTGATGTGTTTGAGACGCACGAGTGGTTCATCATGGCGACCGTCGGGTAAAGAGCCCGCGCGCTGTATCCTCTCATTGTTCGAATTTCGAACGTGTTAATCTCCAAAATGCCGCACGCCATTTGTATGCACTCCTCTGAGAATCTGCATTCACGAATATTCGTTTGAAAGTTGCACGTCGACGAAAATAACCAACAGAATCAATTGCATCGATAGAATTTCTCGACATTTACCTGTCAAGTTTGAGTCGTTTCCTCAGATAATCCACAATATTGACGTGATCCGACTTCCATTGCGTTTTTTGACTCCTTATCTTGGTGTGCACCTCCATGTCCTTCACTTCGCTGTTCCATCTCTCGACACTCCTCTCCGACTCTAACAAAAGCCTCAGTGGCGTTATACATTCTAATTGTGGCACGCCATTCTCATTGTTTTTATTTAGCGCGGCGTCCACGTTGAACTTCTCGTTTGCTTGCACGAACACCTGCCGATGGAAAATTGATTTTTAAATACACAGTTCCAGCAAAGGACAAACGAGATTGGAACATTTATTTCCCAGACCTATTTAAATTCACGTCTTTGCAAACATAAGATCACTCGTTACGAAGTCATGCACTGAGCTTTGGTCTCATCATGGTCTATCATAAACATAAGTATTTACTTCAATTGTATCTTCAAACCAGCATATTTATATATAATTATATATGATCATATGTAGCCATATATGAACAGAAAGAGAGAAAGAGAGACAGAGACAGAGACAAAATCTACCTACCCTTATAGAAAAAAACTACAAGAATACGAAAAAACTACTGACATGCTATTGAAAAA